GTTAGAACCCCTACCCCCATTAATTCAGAGGATATTTTACCTGCTATGAGCGGGTGTTTCGATAGACTTTCTGGATTACAGTGGGGCTTGATAGAAAATGGGATCTGGGACTCCGATGTCCAAGTAGCACTGGCCGATATGATTACTGATGTCATACAGTCAGTTAGTGTAAGGATCATAAAAACGTCGCTTCTAGCAGGTCAGGACCGACTGACAGAGGAAATTTCCAAGACAAGCCTTAGCATAGCCATGACAAAAATAAGCCCCGTATTGGGAGACTCTCTCTCAATCAGCTTTGCTGCCGCTCTTGATGTCACCCATGAGGAATGTGAGAGTGCTGTGGAGCTGACACAGATGGTTGAGGAGGAGATCTCAAATAAAGTCAACTCGGGTTGGGTTCTAGTCCCAGAAAACCCTGATTCTGTTTATGTCACCAGAAAAATAACAAACATAAAAAAACCTCAGATGCATGGTTTCTCATGCTTTCTCATTTCTGAAGAGATATGAAGCTGAGCTGCCTGTGCATGAGGGGGACTTTACCCAGCTCCTTTAGTTCAAGTGATGAGAGCCTTGAATCCAAGCTCTCTGAGATGGGAACAATTATAGAAATAAGTTTGGCTCTCATGAGATGGTGTCACGACCTGCAGGATCAGCCAGGTGCTGATCAGAATCTCTCCACTCCTAGCCCTCCTTCTCTTTTTCCCTCTCTCTCCCCCTCTCTCCTTCTCTCCACTGTTTTGCCAGGGCGGAACTCATGGCGGGTTCACACCCTCGGTCCACGCCTTCCTGGAAACCTCTCATGTTTAACTGTTTTCCACTTTTTCTTTGGTCATTTTAGCCTTTTTGGCCAGGGTGAAGGGAGTATCCGCCATCAAACAAGAAGACAGCCGCATGTAGCTATGATGGCGTTTGCTAGTTCACCTTACATGCATTAATTTAATAACGTGGTTAGCCTACTCAACGTAAATTACACACGAACTGTCACAGTCTGGCGAGAGCAGACTGTATGTATTGTGAAGAGTGGACCCAAAATGCAGACACCAAGGAACTTGAATCAAAACTTGAGTATCAACAAAAGCGAGCCGTTTAATGAGGCTGGCAGAAAAGGTACAAATAAAGGGCAAGGCAAACAGAAATAAAACTAACATTAACCTAAACTGGGAGAACTAAACAAACAACATGGAAAAACCTGGACATGAAACCTAGAAACATGGCATGGAGAACATGGCGTGAACAACAGACGACCTGACAATCACACACTGAAAACAGAGGACTTAAATACACAGGAGGTGATTAGGGGAAGTGGAGACACATGAGGAAACAGCTGGCACACATGAACATAATGACGTCACAGTGGGAGAGTAAAACTGAACATGATGAACACAGAACACCAGACCTCTTCACAATAAAACAGGAAACATAATGAGACATAGACATGACAACCCGAACTTGACAATGTAAGACACAGACATGAAACGCATGAAGAGCAGGGGAGATTTAACATGGTTGGAAACACGAGGGGAAAATAATAACTAGAAACACTTAGGCATAATAATACAAACTTGATAACAAATAAACTTAGGAAACCTGATAAGCTTAAACATACACTATGAACATCAAAAGAACTGAAACTCAAAACACTGGGTCATAAGACCCAGGACCGTGACACGAACAACATTAAGCTACTCACGCAGAGAAGAACGGCTGCTGCTGCCATCATCATCCGTCATCATTTTTGCTACACTGGCAGGGCTAGGGGCCAGGACTCTCCTCTTCGGGTTTTTGGGAGATGTTGCTAACTCCGGGTCCGATAACAGGCACCACACCCGCAGTAGATGTGCACGGTGTGAGGTCTCGCAGCAAGCTATCAAATACGGCACATTTCTCAGCTTTTAAAAAAAACGCTATGCGTCGCCAGGTGTTTCATCGGATTTGAGGTGTTACCTCCTTTGACAGTATCACAGTATCAGCTTAAAGCACTTGTTGCAGGCTGTGAAGTACAGCCAGACTTTTGACCGCTTCGCCTTGGGCATTTTTAATCTGTAGCTCTGCTCTAAAAGAACGTACGTACCTGGACCCGCCTACTATCCTCGGAAACGTAAAATGATTGGCTAGAATCTAAAGTGTATCACAGCTCAGGAAAAAAAAAGCACCGAAGTAAAGCACCGAAATGCGTGCTGCTTTTCGGTCTGGTTACTACCTTTTATGTCAGAACACCGGTACCCATCCCTAGAGGAGAGGGTTCTGGGGTGGGGTTTAGGAGTGCCACATGACCTGTTTAAAAGCAGCTACTCCCGTAAAACAGTCTAACCCACAACCACACGAGCCCCCTGACCTTTCAGCCGTTCCGTCTGAGTATCATGATCTCAAGCAAGTTTTTTGTAAGAATTGAGCCCGCTCTTTTCCTCCTCACTGCCTGTACGATTGCAGTATTGATTTGCTCCCAGGTGCACCTCTTCCCACTAGTCGCTTACACTGCCTCTCCCAACCTGAACGTGCATGCATGGAGAAGTACATTAATCAATCCTTGACTAATGGACTGATTCGCCCCTCTTCATCCCCCCGTGGCTGCCGGGTTATTTTTTGTAACCAAGAGGGATAAAAGCCTTTGGCCATGTATTGATTTCCGGGGTCTCAATAACATTACCATTAAGAATAAATACCCTCTGCCACTCTTATCATCCGCTTGAACTCCTGCAGGGGGCGACCGTTTTCACTAAGCTCGATCTGCGAAATGCTTATCAAATCAAATCAAATCAAATCAATTTATTTATATAGCACTTTTCACAGGATAAAAACCACAAAGTGCTTCACAGTAATATAAAACAGAAATACATAAAATACATTAATAATAAAACACACAGCATAAATCTAATTAAAAGCCAATCTAAATAAACGAGTCTTAAGTTGCTTTTTAAAAGAATAAATACAATCAAGGCAACGTAATGATGGAGGGAGAGCATTCCACAACCTGGGGGCCACCGCTCTGAAAGATCTATCTCCTCTGGTTTTAAAATATGTTCGAGGTACTACCAACAGCCTTTGATTAGAAGATCTCAGGCTGCGAGAGGGAGCGTGGGGTTCTAAAAGATCAGAAATGTAGGCAGGAGCATCACAATTCAAAGCTTTAAAAGTCATTACCAAGATTTTAAAGTGAATTCTGAAATGTACTGGAAGCCAGTGTAATGAACGTAACACTAGTGTAATGTGCTCTCTTTTTCGTGTCTTAGTTAAAAGCCTTGCAGCAGAATTCTGGACTAACTGGAGACGGTCAAGATTCCTTTTGCTCAAACAAAGAAAAAGGCTGTTACAATAATCTAAGCGAGATGAAATAAAAGCATGAATAACCATTTCTAACTCAGACTTAGACAGCAAATTTCGCAGTTTGGAGACATTTCTTAGATGAAAAAGGCAGTTCCTAATTAACTGGCAAGAGTGTTGTTCTAGGGACATGGCAGAATCAAACATCACACCGAGGTACCTGAGGCTCAGGTGAACAGATGAGCCAAGAGAACCAAGATGCTGTTTGATTAGAGATATCTGATTGTCGGGGGCAATAATTAATGTTTCTGACTTCTCAGAGTTCAACTGTAAGTAGTTGTCACCAAGCCACTGTTCAATGGAAGCTAAACATTTAATTAAAGAGGATAGTTTATGGACTTCCATTGGCTTAAAAGAGCAATAGAGCTGAATATCATCAGCATAGAAGTGATAAGACACCTCAGGGAACTGCCTAATTATAAGTCGTAGAGGTAACATGTACAAAAGAAAAAGAATAGGACCCAGAACTGAACCCTGTGGTACCCCACATGTCAGATCATTAGAATGTGACATAAACCAATTCGCAAAAACACTAAAAGATCTGTTGGAGAGGTATGACTGAAACCACTTCAAAGCCAGACCGGACACACTGACTACGTCCCGGAGCCTGTTAATCAGGATGGTATGGTCAATAGTGTCAAAGGCAGATGTCAAGTCTAACAAAACCATGACTGAGGATGATCCGGAGTCAGCTGACATCATAATGCCACTAGAGACTTTAAGTAATGCGGTTTCTGTTGAGTGACGTTTACGGAAACCTGACTGAAATTTGTCATAAATTTCATGTTTTTCTAAAAAAAGTGGTAAGTTGATCTGCAACTACTTTTTCCAGAATTTTCGATAATAATGGAAGCTTAGAGATAAGCCTATAATTCTTAAGCTGAGTTGGCTCCAAACTGCTCTTTTTTAATATCGGCTCAACAACAGCATGCTTACAGAACATAGGGACCACACCTGTTAAAAGAGAGGCATTGCATATCTCTACAATAGAGGGGCCAATGACAGAGAGAGCATTTTTAAACAGCCCAGCAGGTAGAATGTCATTTGCACAAGTGGTGATTTTCATTTTATCCAGCAGGAGTGAAAGGTCATGTATGGTCATTGGGTTAAACACTGACAGTAAATGAGGGGGAGGTGGCCCAGAGACACAAACCGATGGTACTGACACTTAGAGTCCCCCGAGAGCAGCAGTGCCCAGCCTTCTACCTTTCTACCTTTAAAACCCGCCTTCCAGCCAAATGGCTGGTAGGCTTTTAGCTAGGCTTTAGCTTCAGCCAAGTGGAAGCTAAATTGTCTAGTCATTCATATGTAAATTAGGTTGTTATCTGGGAATTCTGGAGGGGAGTGGGGGTGTGTGAATGAGGGGGTGGGGGAGCTGCTAAAAGCTATGAACTTCCTTTTGTGTTCGTCTTGATGCATTCTCAATCATCCAGGGAAATAAATCTCCAAAAGTCACCAACTTGGAGTGTTTCAGTTTGCCATCTTAGGGAGAAATCAACACACATGGGTGTATTTCCTTTGTTGCTGAGATTTATTGATAAAAACAGTACAAAAAAACCAACCATTTGTACACATATTTACAAATAATAATAAAAAGTGAGTGAGTACATTTCAATGTTTTCAGCAATCACTCACAATCCTGGCACTGCCATGGTATCTGTAGTCTGTGTGACCAAGTGGTCGGCGGGGTTATGAACAAAATAAATAAACTTGACAACGCCACCTAGGGGAATTACACCCCCAGGAAATATATTTAAGAAAAATAAATAAAAGGAATAAAAGAAGACCGCACAGATTCAAGGATGCACACTGAGGCAGGTTGGCTTCCAATATTAAAACAGTTTTATTTATAGAAATAAATAAAATATTATAAATAATATTTTATAAATAAAATATTAAAAGTCAAGATGTAGCGTCATTATTGACAGTGTCCTACAGTAAAAATAAACAATCGTGGGACTTGGACTTACCAGCAGCCGTGGAACCAAAAGAAAATCACACCAAAAGAATCACTGCAGACCACCCAGTGCTGTACAAAAGAAAGTGTGAAAACGACCCACCACCTGAGGTCCCAGGGCCACTGGCTCGTCCTCCTTCACTGAAATAAAACACAGAAAAGTATGTTAAAAGAATAAAAGGACACTGAGCGTCAGGCTCGCTACAAATCATAAAAAGACTAAAACACACTTTAATAACTTTAATAAAGGAAATCACACACACACACACACACACACACACACACACACACACACACACACACACACACACACACGGGAAAGGCTTATTCCCCACGTGTCAAACTACCACTCGTGCTGGTAATAATTATTCTCAGGCGTAGGCCGGTCTGGCTCCCCACCGGCTGAGACCGGCCACCCAGGCGATTTAGAGTCCCAGCACGACACTCGGGCAGAGAATCACTTCAGCCCGATCACAGAAGTGTGGGTACGAGCAACAGTCCAGGGTAAAATAGAACACCAGGCGAACCCAAAAAAAAGGTAAGCCTACTTAATAAAAACAAGATAAGACAAAACAAGACAAGACAGCAGACTCCACCAAGGAGGAGTTCACAACAGCAGCTGAGAAGGCAGTTCACTCTTCCAATTTAGGTTGGACAATTTACCATGGAGAGGTGAGTACAGCAGTGAACCCTGAAACAGATAAGTGTAACCTTAAACTCTTATAGCTATGAATGCTAATAAAAGTAGTTCTAACAGCTTACCCCAGGACCGGAGGCACTATACTCTCATTGGTGGAGATACCACGAACACCTCTCTCCGCAATGGCAGAATTACACAGACTGCTGCGCTACAACAGGCCGGAAAAGGATATTAACACCAATTCCAGTATTCGGAGGGAATCCAAGGTTAAGCGAGAGCATACCTGTAGCTGTCGTATAATCGGCTCTTGCTGATCAGTCCGTCGCAGTACGCCAGCATTTACTGCTGTATCGTACCAGAAGCTCGGGAGGAATTAATCCAACAAGACATCGGCTTAGCTTTATACAGGCTAGCGCCACCCTGCAATCAATGTGCAGGTGGGTTCCCAATTAACCCGATCACCTGATACAAGGAGCGAGTGCAGTGGAAAGAGAGCGAGGGTGGTAGAGCGAGCGAGAGAGAGAGAGAATGAGAGAAGAAAAACAACGGAAGGCGAGTAGCCCATCTGGCTACATCTGCATTTACCACATGTGTATCTGTAGCAGTGAACACATCGCACAGTGGCATGATTGTTCTTGCATTTGTGTTTGACCTGACACATGGCTCTTTTTCCAGGGCTAGGTGTGGAGGGTTGTGTCCAAAGCAACTGTTCTTTTCTTGCCTTCTTCCCAGCTACATGAGAGTGAGCCAACTCTCTTGCAAGCTCCACCAGGAAGTCCACCCGTCTTTCCTTCGTCCCGGTGCATGCTTGATACAGCACATGTGCATTCAGTGCTGCCATGTCAATCATGTTGTAAAACACGGCAAGTGGCCAGCGCCGTGTTCCTCTGCAGACAGTGTACTCCCGAACCATCTGGTCCATCACATCCACGCCACACTTTGTTTTGTTGTAAAGGGTGACAGTGTTTGGCTTCCTTTTGGTAATGTTGGGAAGCTGGGAAGAAGGCAAGAAAAGAACAGTTGCTTTGGACACAACCCTCCACACCTAGCCCTGGAAAAAGAGCCATGTGTCAGGTCAAACACAAATGCAAGAACAATTATGCCACTGTGCGATGTGTTCACTGCTACAGATACACATGTGGTAAATGCAGACTACAGATACCATGGCAGTGCCAGGATTGTGAGTGATTGCTGAAAATGTTGAAATGTACTCACTCACTTTTTATTATTATTTGTAAATATGTGTACAAATGGTTGGTTTTTTGTACTGTTTTTATCAATAAATCTCAGCAGCAAAGGACATACACCCATGTGTGTTGATTTCTCCCTAAGATGGCAAACTGAAACGCTCCAAGTTTCCTTGTGGCTCAGGAAACTAACCACTCCAAGTTGTTGACTTTTGGAGATTTATTTCCCTGGATGATTGAGAATGCATCAAGACGAACACAAAAGGAAGTTCACAGCTTTTAGCAGCTCCCCCACCCCCTCATTCACACACCCCCACTCCCCTCCAGAATTCTCAGGTAACAACTTAATTTACATATGAATGACTAGCCAATTTAGCTTCCACTTGGCTGAAGCTAAAGCCTAGCTAAACACCTACCAGCCATTTGGCCGGAAGGCGGGTTTTAAAGGTAGAAAAGCCAAATGGCTGCTCTCGGGGGACTCTAAGTGTTGAAGAACCAATGCTCATACGGACATGATCAACTTTATCCACAAAGAAATTCAGAAACTCATCACTCTCAGATATAGATGTCACTTAGTCAGAATAAGAGAGGGAGACGAGTGGAAAACAGCCTTCAACACGCACCTGGGCCATTTTGAATACTTGGTCATGCTGTTTGGACTAACTAATGCTCCTGCTGTTTTTCAGGGTCTTGTCAATGATGTGCTCCGCGATTTCATCAATCATTTTGTGTTTGTGTACCTTGATGATATCCTCATCTTCTCCCACTCCCTCTCTGATCATGTACGCCATGTCAGACAAGTCCTGCAACGTCTCCTAGAGAATTGCCTGTTTGCTAAAGGGGAAAAGTGCGAATTTCGTGTGAGTACTGTGTCATTCTTGGGCTACATTATGGAACAGGGCGATTTAAGAGCCGATCCAGCTAAGGTACAAGCAGTCTTGGACTGACCCACTCCACCTAACTGTAAGCAGCTTCAACGGTTCCTCGGCTTTGCCAACTTTTATCGGAGATTCATTTGTGACTACAGCAAGATTGCTTTGCCGCTAACCCGTTTAACTTCCCTTAAGGTACCTTTCTGCTGGGATGATCAAGCTCAGGAGGCCTTCTCCCGGCTAAAGAAACGCTTTGCTTCGGCTACCATCCTCCGGCAACCGGATCTCAAGCGGCAGTTTATTGCAGAGGTGGACGCCTCGGATGTAGGGGTCGGAGCCGTTCTCTCCCAGCAACTAGAGGGAAAGCTCCACCCTTGTGCTTACTTTTCCCGTCATTTCTCTCCTGCAGAGCAGAACTACGACATCAGGGACCGGAAGCTGCTGGCAATCAAACTCGCCCTGGAGGAGTGGCGCCACTGGCTAGAAGGCGCAGCAGAACCCTTTGTGGTGTGGACTGACCACAAGAACCTCGAATACATCCGGTCGGCTAAACGACTAAACGCCCGACAAGCCAGGTGGGCTCTGTTCTTTACCAGATTCTGCTTCACCATCACCTACAGGCCCGGTTCTCGGAACGTGAAACCCGATGCCCTTTCCCGCCAATTCACCACCTCAGAGGATCACACCCGTAAGTCTCGCATTCTCCCTCCCACATGCGTTATCGGAGCCCTGTCGTGGGAGATCGAGTCCGCCATATGGGAGGCCCAGCGGACAGAACCGGATCCAGAGACTGGTCCCACGGGATCGCTCTTTGTTCCCACGTCTGTTCGCTCACGAGTGCTACAATGGGCCCACGGGGGCAAACTCACCTGTCATCCGGGCATTCATCGCACCATCACCTTCATCAAGCGGTTTGCCTGGTGGCCTACACTGGCCAAGGACATCCAAGAATTCATCGCCGCCTTCCCAACCTGTGCCCAGAATAAACCTGTCAACCAGCCCGCTGCCGGCCTACTTCATCCCTTACCTACGCCAAGCCGCCCCTGGTCCCACATTGCAGTTGACTTTGTCACTGGTCTTCCGCCGTCATCAGGTAACAGTCATCATCACCATCGTCGACCATTTTTCTAAAGCAGCCCACTTTGTTGCTCTCCCCAAGCTCCCCACTGCCCTGGAGACCGCCCGGCTTTTGTCAACTCATGTGTTTCGCCTCCATGGGATCCCCGCTGAAATAGTCTCGGACCGAGGTCCACAGTTCACCTCGCGTGTTTGGAAGGAGTTCTGCACCTCCTTAGGGGCCCAGGTCAGTCTCTCGTCAGGTTTTCATCCACAGATCAACGGTCAGGCAGAATGGGCCAACTAAGAACTCAAAGCAGCTTTCCGTTGCTTGACATCCACTAATCAGACCACCTGGAGCGAGCAACTGACGTGGATGGAGTACGCTCACAATAGCCTTACCTCGTCAGCCACAGGCGTCTCTCCGTTCGAGGCTTCCCTGGGGTACCAACCTCCCCTGTTCCCTGCAATCGAAGGTGAGCACTTTGTGCCCTCTGTTCAGCAGCACCTGCGGCCGTGTCAGCGTGCATGGCGGGCCACTAGAGCTGCCCTTCTTCGCACGGCAGACAGAAACAAACAGCTGGCGGATCGCCACAGGACCCCGGCTCTGGCATACTCACCTGGACAGCAGTACCGTTCGAAGTAGACTCCGTTGTTAACCCCGTTTCTGTGCGTCTCAAGCTCCCCAGGACCATGCGTATCCACAATGTGTTTCATGTTTCACAACTCAAACCCCACTGTTCCACTGGAACAGTGGGGTTCCCAGAAGTTCCCAGACAATCACCAACCTTAGAAAACACAGTTAAAAGTTCCTCTCCACTCAAATTTAGAACTGTCATGCCAGTTGTGAATAAACTGTTTAGTAAATTAACCTCGGCAGAACACCTTAAGGTAAAGTAAGGAAATAAAGATGTTTTCTAGGAAGTTGACAGAAAAAGTGTACAATCATGTCCAGTCAACATATCCAGTCCCCACAATGCAAATGGGTAGTGTCTCAGCATATGACATCTCTAAGACCTTACAGGGCCACTGTAAGGTCTTAGAGACCCCGAGGTCCCATATGTGCTCGTAGAAGATTCAGTGGAAAGGTTCTTACAAAACCTTCTTTTCTGGTTGGAGAATGAAACTTTAGCCCAAACTATTACAAATGACAAAATTTCTGGTGGAAGATATAGTAAGAGTGCTGACTCCATCAAAGGAAGAAGATATGATTGGACCAGATGCTGGTGAAACAAGCGACAGACTGTCTACATCACAGTCACAATCGGTTAAAGCTCTCACAAATCAACCAGTCTTGTCTGTGAGTGCAGTAGACCTGGACCTGGTTTCAAATACAAGCAATGAGCAGGCATCAGTCTCTCACACTGAACCCACAGAGGGTCAAAGTCAGCCAGCAACCTCTGAAAACAAAGAGGAAGAACTGTCAGAAACGTTAGTGTCACCTGATGCTAAGCTAATTGCCAATGAATTTAGTGCTTTTCTATATATGAGAATCTTGCAGAAATCCCACAGGAAAACCAAATATTTTCTGGATCCAGAAGAATTAAGCCTAGCTATCAACCATCTGACAGATTTGGTACTTTCTGAAGTGAGATGCACTAAATCCCTGGAAATTCTTAACAACAACATGGATAAATTAATTAAGGCCACAGCTGTCGCCTGTTGAGTTTCGAAATATATATTTTGAATCTTATTTGCTGATTATATTGGTTTAGGTATAAGAGAGGGCCAGCTTTGAGCGCGGTAACTGCAGGCAGAAAGTGAAACTAAGCAGAGTGTTTGATCGAAACTTAAAGTGTGGTGTGACGTTGAGAAGTACATAAATAACCTGGCTTCCTTTTTCTGCTTGAGACCTGAGCTTGTGTGTTCGTGTGTTCAGGTCTCCATATTCCGGAATATGTAAAATTAAAGCTCTTTTTTTTTGAGCTTTGACCACTTTGAGCCTTGTGTCTTTCTTGGCCATTCAAGAATACAAAGAACTGGATTTAATAGGCCTTATCAAGGAGTTTGGATCTCTGGACAAGTTCTTCACTGTACTGAAATCAGAAGATTCATCTTTTTACGACACTATTCTGAAGCACCTAGCAATGAATCTCAGTGTCTTCATGAATCCTCCAAAGAAATCCAAACTCGCCAGGTTTTTTTCAGCAGTGTTAAAAGCTTTTATGAAGCAGTTCAGCTGCTGCTTTAAAGGCAGTAGTGATGACTAAATTGTCATCTTGATTTTTTTCAAATGCCTCTTTTAAAATCTTAAAGCAATCTAGTCTGGCCTCAGAGTTAACATCTGAGGTATATTTTATTTTAAAACTATGTCATTCGACTTTAATTAGACTTAGAAATGTTCTTCATCGTGTCTCCTCATATTATCTTTACCCAGTGTTGGGAAGATTACTTTTAAAATGTATTCCACTACAGATTACAGATTACATGCCCCAAA